AACAAAAACCCTCTGAATACAATTTCAATTGTTTACTTTCTATAAGCCCGCTTGTTTACAGAAATATTTTAACGGACGAGTACTATCCATCCGGGTATTTTCTGCGGACGGGCACTATGGGCTGACAGTGTCTCTCCGCGGATGAACACTATCGCGTCACGTGATCAATTCCAACCAATAAGAATCGGAGAAAATTTAGTGTTGAACTATAATTAAACAATAGAATGTTTCTGTCGAGGAACTATCGGTCTGATAGTCGACCCTTGGAAATGTGATGTTCTTAAAACAAACATTTGTCCGCGAAGTGATGCTTTGAGGACAAATATGCTATTTTTTCTGCAGCATTCACTTCTGGAATGCGACAATTTTGGTTACATTCTTGCCGCGTCTATTTTCGACCAGAGCTCCGATGGAAAAGTTGGTTGCCATGGCAACCTTAAAGCTGCACTGAATTTCACTTGCTGCAATCAATTTCCATTTTTAACTGAACCAACTGGAATTTAATGAGCCATATTCGAGAATTTTCAAGTTGACTGATTAATGAAAACATGCACCATACGCTAAACGGATATGCCATTAACCTCGTGTACGTTATTTATTTCGAATGGGCTGTACTCGTACCATGAGTTCTCTAAGCAGCTGTATATTATATATGAACTATAATATAGTCTGATGGACAACTGGTAAAAAGGTTAAAAACAGTTCCATCGATTTCTGTGGCTATACCTTTGGAAACGAACTCGAAGCGTTGCAACTCATCGGACCAAGGTCGTTCGTCAGGTTTCCTACAATAGCAACAAAACGAATTAGGTGTAATTTTTTTTCAATCCTACTTTCTACCGACTTTCCAAATTTATTAATACTGCCTCTCTATGCATTGTAACAATGTCCTTTGACAAACACCACCTTTTACGAAATAACTATGGAAAATGTTTGTCAAACAGAATAAAATTATTGTACTTTCGTAATCAAGTTGTCTATTCTGAACAAATTCATGAGATGACGCGGCAAACGAATCCGCCGTAGGAAAAAAAGATGGCGGTTGTACATTTTACCACAATACCATGCGAACCTTACACAGCCTATAAAGTACTAGGAAAGCCATATTTTTGCGATATTTGTCCC